GATCCAGAAGCATTATAGAGTTTGTAGTGAACTCACAGTTGCTGTAACGGCACTTTAGACGCCCAACAGCACCTCTGGACTGTCGGGCATTACGTTCTTCTGCGTGCATGCTACGTATATGAGTATCGAGATCCTTTTTTAATTCAAATGTGGATTCACAGTAACGGCAAACGTGCCGACGATTGACCTTCAGAGCATGAGCACGAGTGATGTGGTGGTTCAGTTGGTTAAAGCCCGGAAAACCGCGTTCTCCACAAACGGGGCAGGATATTATTTGACTTCCCTCGTGGGCCTTAACGTGAGCCTTGAGTGAAGCAACGTCACTGACATAGGCGTTGCACGGCAGGCACCGAAACTTGGTTTGTAGCGTCCTAACGATGCGACAACTGCGCGTGTGCTTGTTCAAGTTGTATATGCTGTCAAAAGTAAGAGCGCATCCTAGACATTCCAGGGCCAGCTAAAGAAACCAATATATTACTTGCAACAAAGTTACCTGAGAAGAAGCCATCATAGCAAAATGTTCGCGAAGCTCATGTTCACGAGTCCGGAGATGGGCAAGATAGATATCGTAGGACGAAAATGCTTTGTTGCACGTATCACAACGAAAGATCTTGTCACGATAAATATGCCTGTTTCTGTGGGTTTTCATGTTCGCCTTCTGCGCAAATCTTTTATTGCACACGTCGCAAACGTACGGCTTCTCGCCCGTATGCGCCCTTTTATGATGTTCCATAGTACCTCCATTATTTGTCATATAATTACATTGGTCACAATGAAATTTGTAGTTTGCGGGGTTTCGCTTCGGTTTTTTAGGATCCACGTGGTTCCGACGAGCATGAAGAAACAGTTGGCTTAGCGTCTCGAAGAACTCTTCGCACTGCCGACAGGTATAGACTTTTACGAAGTGCTTCTCTCGCATATGCTTAGTGAATGCGTTCGCATTGGAATACATTGCAGGGCATGATGGGCAACGGTAAGTAATGCCACCCGGCTGGCCACCGGCAATTGTT